TTTGACATCTAAATGTTATTATTTAAATCGTCTCTATTACTAAAATGTTATCACATGCATTCTCTATATAACAGTTGCTCTTTAAAGAGTGCTTCTTATTTGAAGCCTTTTGCCTATAATACCAATCCACATTCTCATAAAAGATAAAAAAATACACAATATATAGGTTTTAGATAGAAAACCCCATAAGAATTCATTGTTACGTATGTGAATACAAATCAGGATAAACATAGAAACGAAAGAGTTGATTATATACAAACCATCCGAAACATTGATATTTACAAATTAACCACCCAAGTGATTTTCTTTGAACCACCAAACCAATGTATTTACACGTGCCACAATCAAACTATTGAGTATTTGATAAAAATGAAAATTATGGGTTGGCCTTTTACCTTAAATTTTGATAATTGAGTGAGAATTTGAAAAATGGATGAAAGAGGGTGGTTGATTAGTAAATAACAAGTTTTAGGTGCCCTTTTTCAACCACCGAACCAATGTATTTTTGCACGCCACAATCGAACTTTTGAGTATTTGATAAAAATGAAAAATATGGGTTGGGCTTTTACCATTAATTTTGATATTTGAGAGAGAAATTAAAAAGTGAATGAAAGAGGGCGGTTTATTATTAAATAGAAACTTTAAATTACCGCACCAATGTATTTACGCGTGCCACAATCAAACAACAGAGTATTTGATAAAGATGTTTTTACCAATGTATTTGATAAAGATATGGGTTGGGATTTTTCCATAAATTTTGATATTTGAGTGAGAATTTGAAAAATGGACGAAAGAGGTTGGTTGATTAGTAAATAGTAAGTTTCGGATGTTTTTTTTAACCACCAAACTGATGTATTTGCGTGTGCCACAATCAAACTATTGTGTATTTGATAAAAATAAAAAAATATGGGTTGGCTATTAACATAAGTTTTGACATTTCAGTGGGAATTTGAAAATAGATGAAAGAGGGTAGTTGATTAGTAAATAGCAAGTTTCGGGTGGTCTTCATGTAAAGTTGCCAAAAAAAAAAAAAAGTACTTCTTCCTTTAAAAAAAAAACAAAATGAGCAAAACATAACTGTTGCGATTAAATGAATATCTAGAGGAAGATTTTATTCGAATTCACCTTCAATTTAAATCAAATAATGCTTGAAATGGATTACCATACCGGAAATTCGACCAAATCGCAGGGGTTGGAGGTTGAGCGCGCGAGTATATAAACACGAAATGAACAGGTACTGTGTCGATCCGGTTTATTAGGGTCTATCCATCGGCTTTCCAACAACATAACACCGTCAATTTCTAATATCTTAATAATAGACGGGCAAGCTGTCAGATTATATCAAAAGCCCGTAGGAAGATGTGTAATCTTTCTAACGATAAATGATCTTCTGTTTATCATATGCTATGAAACCACGGCGAAGCCTGTCGGTTAAAACTTAAAGGCCCTTAGAACGGGTTCTTAGCCTAAACCAATGTTCTACTCCATGGGTTAACCATAAGTTAGTGTAGGAGTCAGAAAGCCGTCAGAAATTTCATACTTTATTTCCGATGCAATAAAAGCCGTTGGTTTTGCTGCTGGTTTTCAATACTTTTCTTGTAGTGAACCCTCGATGTCTACTCATACATCTTCTTCTCCTTCCTTCTTCACTTCGATTTCTTCTCCTCCTCTTCCTCCCTTTCTGTTCTCTCTATCTTTTACGAACAAAGGAAGCTATTCTTTGACGCTTAAAAACGAATAAGACCGTCGTGACGCTTTATCAAACCGTCGCCACCGTTAAATTTTTTAATATGATTTTATTTTATTTATTAATTTTTTACTGGTTATTACATGAAGGACTTGCCATGTATGATGAGGAGCAACGGTGAGGAAGACCCTAATGGTGGGTAACTTTGCCATGGGTTTGAAAGGTTCGACATAGTTTAGGCCATATTCTTGTTGAAAACCTTGAGCGACAAGGCATGCCTTGTATCTCGCAACAGTACGGTCAGATTTTCATTGATTTTCAAAGTTCATTTACTGCCAAAAACTGGTTATTGATGGGAAGGGGGAAAAGAACCTAAGTATTCTGAAATTTGAGGGCTTTGAGTTCTTCTTCCATAGCTTACTGTCAGTGCGGGTAGTGAGTTGCTTGCTTGTAGGTGAGAGGTTCGATTTCAAAATTAGATAGGTGCATGAGATCAAAGATCTTTTTGGGTGGAATGGAGCCGGATTTTGATCGTGTAATCATGGAAAGTGATAGGGGAACCTGGAGGGAGGGCTAAGTGCGGGATGCATGTTTGGCTTGCTAGATTGGTGGGGATTGAGGTTTTGGAGGTGGAGAGAAAGGTTGCATTGTATTGGTAGTTTGTTGAGGTGGTGTGGAGAGAATTGAGGTGGTTATGAATGTGAATGACGGAAGATCCAAATGTGGGGGGGGGGGGGGGGGGGGGTGAGGGG